CAGCTATGTTACCCAGCGACGACCTTCACGCTCGATCGCCGGAACCACGATTGCCAAACGTATCCTATTCACCACAGAAAGCCAAATTTAGCTTAACTTCTTTTCGGTAACAGAGATTTTGTTGAAAAACCGCGATTTACACCTAGTGGCAGCGTCCCTTCGGATACGCACCCGAAAGGTAAACGATCCACAACATGTGGCCTCGATGCGCTTTCAAGATATCCGATTTTTACACCTAGTGGCAGCGTAATTTCGGGTACAGACACTCAAGAATACACTCAGTAAGAATCCTTGCCTCGTTTTCAAACGTTTTGTCTCGCGTCTTTAAACAAAATACGCGTCACCTTCACGTTGGTCAGTTTCTCTGGGTCTTAGTGTCGTTTTGAGTAAACTGTCTTGTTTATAGTTTTTCAACGTGTCATGACGGACGACTAAATGAACAGGAAAAATAATAATAACGTGTCTTGCACAGTAAAGGGGTTTAAAGAAAGAACAAGATTGAGTTATCGAAAAAAATTTTTTGTTATGCCTTTTTATGTAATACAAATACACGTCATGCAATCACCTGTTTCAACCAGATGATTACAGGAAAAATTTATCAACACATGATTGCAGTGGGTGAAATTATAAAAGTAAAATTTAATTTCTACTAAGTCAGACTCAAATCTTTCAAATCTTACATATAGAAATAATCACGTGTCCGTAAAATTTTTATGACGATGCTAAAACATAGGAAAAATCTATTTCGGTATTGGCGTTATTTGCTAATTACAAAAGTAAACGACAAAAAATTTTATATTAATTAACTTATTATTATTGTAACGAAGTGTTAGTATTAGTATGTGTGTAACATCTGTCTCGCCACTTTAGCAAATTACAGCTTTATTACAACATCTTGTTTAACTTTATGAAAATATTACTCAAAAAATTACAGCCAATTAGCTTCATAGCGATATAAAATTTTTGTTGGTACTATTACATATGTTTTACCAACTGTGTGGTTCTATATTTTGATTATTGTACATTGTGGTAACTTATTGTCATTATGGCTACATTTTGCAATCGACACATCAATAAATTTAGGAAAGTTATATTAAATAAAATGTACAGTGCAACTTTACCAAGAGATATCTCAGAAATGCCTGGTTTGTTTTCTTCTATGATGTATTATAAAGTGGGCAGTAAATATCTCCATGGATTATTTTATGCCACTATTACTATTGCAGCTGATAGTAGATAATGTCGTGGCAGATATTTTCACAATTTTAGGATGAGCCCTGGCCGAATCTCATCATCAAAGTGGCATAAAAGTATCAAAAAATTCATATTTAAGGAAATCATACATTCATAACCGGATAATTTGAGTTGAGAAACGCATGTGAAGGTGTGCTGAGCTTTGCTGTGTAATCAGGAGGCCGGCAAGTCTGAGCTATAACCATAATGAAAGAATGACTAATAACAGATAAACACATCAGCCAACCCAAAAAACAAAATAAGCGAGCAGTGTTACTTTAACTTGTGTGCTGCCAGGATTAAGGCCAAAGATGACACTCAATATTAAAACGAAATCAAGTTGCACGACAAATATTTATATTTGGTACACAAAATTATGATCTTAAGCATATGAGATCAATCGAATTTTTTTTATTTCGATTATTCCTTGCTTTAGTGTAATTTTCTTATTTTAATAAAATAAGCAATTAAATACACAATATTGTTATCTCGTTCATTCTCTGGTAAGTTTCTCTGTCGTTAAAAATGTAAAACGCCTTTCTCGGACGCAATCGAGCTCACCATCAATTTTGTAAGAACTTTGACACTAGTATTAATGTTCAATTTTTACAAACGTGTTTTAATGTAGAATAACTTTCCCAATCTATAGACGTTTGAAATTAATCCCATCGAAAAAAATAGGCGTAATATTTGAAGTTAAAAATAATAATACTGATCTATCATCGTGAGTATTTTGAAAACCGTTAAAGACACTAATTCTCATTAGTAAGCTTAATACTAGTGAAGTTCTCGTCTAAATTCAAGGCCATACTATCGCTCTTCTGCGTGTATTGGCTCGACGGCCCTTTTAACAAAATTATTATATCGTAATACGAAACTAGTAAAATTTCTCCATCTATAATTGTTAGAATTAACGCAGTTGTAAGAAGTTAATCGTGAGAATGTAAGTTATTGTAACAAACTCATTATTGCTTAATTTCTCTAACGTCAATTAGCAGCAATAAATCCAATACTTTTTTTAAGTTTATAGTTTCTCCTTTGATTGTATTGTTATAGCTTACTATTAGAACAACCATCAGTCTACTATTCTATGTTGGGACAAACGATAATCCAACATATTAATGCAGGAGATTGACAATAATAATGCATCTTAAAGCCACGTAAATAAATGTGTTATTCGTTCCTACAGCAAGTTGAACCGGTTTATTTAGATGACATTATGTTTGCCGAAATTACTATTACAGAATGGAACAACCAATTAACCTTCAATCAACTTGCCCAACGTGTGTCTGATATACGAGTTCAAGCAGAAGTATATTACAAAAGAATATTATTTAAAGTTTAAAGCAACAAATACAGGTGGTGTTTCTATTTCAACATTCAACTCGATCAGTATGCATGTATTCTATTGCTGTAACGATCTTGGCTTTGCGTGCTTGTAAACCATCAAATCATAAATTCCACCTCCAAGAAGCGAGCCGATGTTGGGCACAATCAACGGAATCCAGAAATAATAGTTTTTGACTTTGAAAATATCGCTGCCATAAACACACGCAATGAATAAGCGTCCACCAAGGTCACGAGCAGGATTGATCGAAATGCCTTGGAACCCTACGCCGATAATCAAACAGAATATAATAAAACCTATCAAAAGCGGGATAGCTATTGGAGTACGTCCAACCTCTTTGTTGTTATGATCGATTAAACTGAAGACTATAAAGCTTAAGATCGTGTTTGCAATTAATTCGGTCCTGTTTATGTAAATGGGATAAATTAACAAGCCGTTATTATAATTCGCTAGAGTAATAGTAATAATTTTGTCACATTACCATATAAGGTATCCTGTAGATATATAATCTTTAGGAATCTCAACAAATGCTTTTACGATGACTGGCAAATCAGTGAAATCTGCTGAAATAGGTTTAAGGTCCAGCACGTCAATTGTCGGATAAAAACACGCGTACACGAATGCAGTGCCTATAAAAGCTCCGACTATATGAGAGAGAAAATAAAGCGGAACCGTCTTCCACGGAAACTTTCTATATGCAGCGAATGCACAACTGAAAGCCACCGACAAGTGTCCTCCAGAAATATGAGCTGAAAATGTAATGGCAAAGGCTGTAGCGAACGCAAATACAAATGCGATCGACAAGCGACTACCGTCAAGACCGCCGCTCACAATTAATGCGGCAATGGCACTGCCGCCCAGAAACACATAGAAAAATGTTGCCATGGCTTCAGCAAATAAAGGACGAATAAGTTCGCGTTTTTCTTCCCAAGATAATTGCCATGGACGTCCGGGAATGGCAGGCATTATTGGCTTGGGTTCGAGCGCAAGTTGAAGTGATTCAACAAGTATTTCGTCCGGCATATCAATGCTCTTGTCTTGTGCCATAGTGATCGGGTGTTTTTATTCAATAAAGACGTGTCAAGGTTATAATGCTTTGCTTGTTTTTTTTTTTACAGATAATAAATTTTCTTTTTCAGTTCAAAAGAAAGGAAGCTTTATATATTGAGAAATTCGATCATGTTATCGTACTAGCTTTACGGCATTTCCATTCCTTGAAACACCGTATGAAACTTCAAAAGACGGTTTAAATAAACAGTAAGCCCAAATTAAGCTTGATCGTGGATTATTTGGATGTGAAATTAAGTGTATTCTGTCGGATGTTTATCCGTTTTAGGATAAGACAATGAGAGAACATATCAAATTACAATTATAGATATATCTGTTAGTGAATCAAAAACTCTTAATTTAAAGCAAGCTTGATTACAAATGACGCATATCGTGTTTTGTGGAAGCGTCCGTTCGTCAGTGTCTTGATTGGCCGTACCACCGATCATAATCGGACGGTATCACCGAGATCGTGATGGACATGTGATAGAGAAATTTGTCGACTGTAAGGTCATGCTGCCTTGAATCACCTAATGCAGACTTGGAGGCAGTTAATAAATTGTGCAAATTTCCATATAAAGAACAATTTAGCCCGCTTAATGTTAATATAGAAAGATCGTTTAATCGGATTTGTATCATTTGTGGTGTTATAATGAACGAAGAATATCACATACAGAAAGAGAATCGACTTTAATTGTTCGGGAATTTAGGCTTATTGGAGGCACAGAATCCGTGTACCATTTTACGAAACTATCTCGTCCAGTCACAATTATTTGAGTCTTATTAAAGGTAATTTGATTTATGAAAGACGCAATTGCTGTGTAACCCAACTAGATATACATTGTCGTTAAGATTAACGTAATGTTTATAGAATTTATACTGGTATTTATTTAACATTTCCTCTGAAGGCCATTTAATATGACTAAACTTGTATTAATAGAATGCGGTTAACCCATCTGAAAAACGTTTTACACTTATCGCTTCACAACAAACCTAACACGCGGCCAGGCAGTAAAAGAAGAAACCGCTTATGATAAACCCGTGCGAATATAATGGCTCATTCTCGCTTGCAAGAAAGGCATGTGCATAGAACATGCTTATTAAAGAACAGATTACTCAAACAAAGCAAAATGGCTAAAAAACAGGGTACCCACCTGTATAGTACGAGACTAATAATGATAAAAAGAGAGTCATCGGAATTTTTTCTGATACGCATAATCAATTACTTAAAGTCGTGATAGTAAGAATTTACAATGGTCAGACATGCCGAACGACCATAATCCAATAATAATAATTTTCATTACGAAATAAGCGACCAGATGTTGCTAAATCAAATATTGTAAAACTCGCACCCTGTACACAGAATAACTGTAAAGAACATTATAATTAATTAGTGATTAACAGAATGAAACTTATGGAGAACGGGTATCCAATCAAGCGGTTTGATGCACACATTCCACATTCTGCATTGTACAATTATTTTTTTTTCAAGTCCCCATCATAAAGCTCTCTAAATACACGCTATTTTAGAGACTTAAATTTTGATTATAAATACTTCTCTTCATTAATTGCGGTACTTTGATTAAATTGTGTGGGATTTAATTTCATATGGAAACATATTTACTATACACTTATACAATCATGAAACGTATTTTTTAATGGACATTACTACCGTTAATCTTTTGATGTTAATGTTATTATAACAAAGAAACAAGGGGAGTGCCGATAGAATATACTGTAGCACAAAAAGCACTAATACGAACTAATTTTATCCAGTGCAAGTAATGTGTTGACGTATTTCCCATTATTTACGCTTGGCGGTACAAACCTCTCCGGTAATCAATATCAATATCAATATTAAACGTTTTCATGCTTTACTTATTAGAATACAAAGAACTATTATAAAAGGACAAATAAAATATCAACGCCGATTACGTTTGTTTGGCGAAGGAAATTACGTGGATGGTTCAAAAAACTTAAACCATTAATTTAACTGTTTTATTCCTTCAAAGTAACCTTTAACCTATATACAGTATCTCAGTCTTTTACACTAACTCTGAAAGCCCTCAGAACACCTTTCTTGTTGGTATACTATTGGTAATTAATTTTATAAATGTAGAAAGCTCTTGAATTTACTCGAACACGCTCTACTAAACTTTTTTTTTGAAGTGAAAAATGATTGCACAGAGCTCAGATTAAGGCCGTAAAAATGATGAGAAAGCAATATGACTCGTTTCTGTTCCCAAAAATACTTAGTGGGCTTGTGTGACGTCGCATTCTAGGCGTCCTATTTATATTAGCATACACTTTCTTGAACAAAATTTCATAATGCAGAGTAATTTTAATACTTCCAGTTAAGATAGACATAACTTTCCGAATATTTACAATGCTAATATGGGGGTTCATTATTAATACTATATTTAATAATGTTAGTGCTTAATTGCCTGGCTTTGAATGCTTTAATCCAGCAGTAAATAGTATGTTTGAGTAGTGTTTTATTTTCTCTAACAATGGTTAGCTCTCTGTAATTGTCATCGGCCTTTAGCACATGAAGATAAGTTATCTCTGGTTTTTGCAAGTAAATTTTTCCATCATTGTTATAGACAAGTGTCAAAAAATTTCCAACCGTCAAATTAAACTTTTATCATTAATTGAGTGTGAGCTTCAATATGGTTATTCTACTATGACGATATAATTACACTCTCTTCGTATATAACTACCTATCGTTTCCGATTCTAAATTTCGATAAATGGGGAAGCCTCATTGAAGGTTCCAGATTCGATATATTTCTTGTGTGTACTTTATCGGATTAAGTTTAACCAGAATCATATTAAGCCGCTTTTTGGGATCTTTGTCAATAGTTGCCATCGTACTTTGGCACTGTTATGATTTAATTATCAAACGCGAAAATTTCCCGATCTCAGCCAATCATAATCGTTGTATTAGGTTGAATAATAATCTACAAAAGGCGTAATATAATAGTAATTAAAGCCAAGTTTAAGGTCACTAATTTTCACTGAATATGAAGAATTGTGCCAAAAGCTTCGTGGTGCGGTAGAACACGAAATAGTATTGCCATCCGACAAACGGGTTGCTGTGTTTACACATGATCATTCAATAACGTCATCTCTTGTACGTATGTTATTACTATCCCATTGTGTACATTTAAATTCATTTTGTTGTTTATATTTCTATCATGGAGCCTTAAACACGTGAAAGAGGCTTCGCGTCGTACTTTTGCTCACCATGTCCACAAAAGAAACGGACTCGAAGACTTTGGTTGGATTCTCGTTTGCGAGCGGTCGCAGTTTGCCCGCTCTCTCAGCTAAAGATCTTCAAGCGGCGCGCGCTCTTTTAGATCAAGACGACCCGGTCATAAATGACGCGATCTTGCCGTCTGAATTACGAGTGAACGGAAGACCAAAACCAATTCTCTCGGATTTTGCTTCTACAGAAATAAATCACAAACACTTGGACTCGAGACCTGGAAACACGTCAAAGACAGTCGTCAAATGCGGCTTCTCTTGTGCGAGCGGTCGCAGCTTACCTGCACCTTCGACAGAGGCGTTGGAGAAGGCTTATAACCTTGTAAATAACCAATCTTTTGCAATTGCGAAAGATATGATTGATGACAAGAATATGGGGGATAGAATTCGCGCAAGAAAGAGGAGCTTTATCGATGCGAATATGCAAGAGATAAACACAAAAACACCATCGATGAAGCGTATTACCACAAAGATAGTCAACACCGAAGACTATCCTCAACGTACACACCCAAAGAATGTTGGTGGCAACTCTTATGTCTGTCAAAGTAGGAAATCACTCGACCGATTGCATCCGTGTTCGCTACAAACCGCAAGTAAACTTTTGCCCAAAACCTTTGCTCCCCCATCCGAGGCTAAACGAAAACTATCGCTTTTTAATCTTAATTGTAAGTTGGTCGTCAGTTGATTGTCGAAATTCTACACCATTCTATTAACACGTCCATTTTAATGTGTGTGGGATCTCTATCAATGTTAGCAAATGGTATGGAAACGATTATATACTACTGCTTCGACAACCACGCTCACTTATTCACCCTTCCCTGTCGCGTTAAAAGCATTACCTCAACCACGTGTCAAGCTCAAAGACTTTGTCAAAACTCTTCCATTGTCATTCAGTGAAAATGAACTGTGCAACCTCGGACTGTAAGTTTATGCCTAAAATGAAATTCTACGTGTTATTTAAACTCATGTGGTTCGATTCTATAATGCTCCCCGCCAAGATTGCAAGAAATTATCAATATGACACCCTCCAGTTCGTCCTGTTTCCAATTTACTATGTCAGAAATTGATCCATCTCTTCCACACGAAAAGAGAACATGGGGTGCAAGAGAGTTATTAGCTGAACTGATTCGGCTTGGTGCGGAACCAGGTTCGATTGATGAACGTTGGGTGAAGAACCATTATCGTTGGATAGTCTGGAAGATAGCGAGCATGATTCGATGCTTTCCAAATGAATTTCAAAATTGGTGGTGTATCGAGAAGGTGCTGGAACAATTACGATATAGGTAAGGATAGCAAACTTTACGAGGATATTGTTGTTATATACTCACTAACGTTTTCGTTCAAGATACGAGCGCGAATACAATCTTGCGCAAAGATCGATACTCAAACGTATCATAGAGCGAGATTCTCCAGCTACTTATCCAATGGTTTTATGCATATCCGACATTTTTATAGAAGATTCAGCTATAATAGATACAACCCCGGATGGTATGGTTTTTTGTTAGATATGTGACGTCTTTTAGAAATCATTGAAGGCTAAATCATGTACTATTTCCAGTTTACTACGGCATAGAGTTGACTGATTGTTGGTATAAAATCCGAGCATATATTGACCAACCTTTACAACGAGCCATTTTGAAATCTAAATTGCGAATTGGCAGTAAATTGGAAATTTGTGGCGCGAAAGTGAGGAACAGTAACAGATTGTGAATTTTTCTAAAGAACATTAAACGTAATTGCTGAAACTCAAGCCTTATATTAGCTAATAGGAGAGTCGGAGGCTGTACCGGCTTTGGAGGTGCCATCTTCGCTGCGTCTGAAGCTCTCGGCTAATGCAACGAGGCTCGCTAGATGGGATGCTAGATTGGGATCCAAAAATTTGCAAGCATATTCGCTATTGCGTAGTATATCTCCTGACGGCGGTTTCGTGCCTGCCATCGATGTGATTATAATACGCAAATATCCGATGCTATATAGAGAAATAACCGCCGATGGGAATGTGGTTGTTAGAAATGCAAAAGAAGAAGAAGAAGCAAGGCGAAAGCATGAGGTAAAGTGAACTCAAGACGGTGTTATATGTTCTTGCATAAAATTAAGTTAAATTATCCATAGGAAGCAAATGCTTTATTTGTACAAAAAATAATTGACGGCTACAAGGACGAGCAATCAAAATCAGGACAGTACCGAACGGTCGGCGATAACATGCGCAGAAGGTTATCTCTGAAAGGTATTGTTTCTACGTCCATTAGTTTGTCAGAGTTCAGTTAGTATATGACTCGTATCTACAGATATAAAAGATGAAAGCACAGTCGAAGAGTTGTACGAAATTATGCAATCGGGTATAGAAATGACAAATATCGTTGAATATCTGTCTGGAGAACGGCGGAAACTATTTGATGATTTCGTACGAGTTAAAGAACAAGAAAGAATGGACCATTTACAAGATAGAATCAGCAAAAGTTTGGAGGTCAAAGCGATAATCATGAATCGTTTGGAATTTGTTCAGTTAAATTATTTAAACAAATGCAATACCTCCCCGGAATCTTGTAGGAAGCTAATAAATCCCGGTCAGTGACGCCTTTCTTCAAAGTTCGCATATGCGACTATCAAATGTCAAAGAAGGAAGCTCGAGAGGCTACTTTAACAATATGGCAGCCTGATGAATTACTTTATGACACTATTAAAGAAGGTAACCGATATAAGGTTGGTAATGCCGAGTAAGTATTCCAACGATCACTTTTTGGCAACTTACTGTTGTTGGAATTCTATTAGGTGTATTCTGTTACAACAGCCAATCATCAGAGCTATCCATTAGACCATCATGCCCTTCTCAGGTTATCTTCTACAGGACGCTCCACAAGATGGATGGAAGCTCCTATTGATCCAAACATGTTGCAAAGTTCTCGTTACATTCCGCGCTGTATAATGTTGTGTGACAACTTGTGGGGTCTAAATCAAAAAGATGAGCTAGATTTAGTAGTCCTAATACTTGGTTAGTATTCCTCATTTCGAAAAACTTAAATGTGGGAAAGTATTACAGAATATCGTTTGACTTTGCAGTAATCCTCAACGAAACTGTGAGTGAACGTGATAGCACGGCGTGTACGCGAATACGTAAGATCATGGTCGTAGATAAGAGCAAGCAGATGGCGCTAATCGAAATACGTGGTGATCGGTACAATGTCCTTCTAGTAAGTAGTGAACCGATTTTTATGATTTATATGACTTTGTTGTTGTCAACGACATTAATGCTAATTGCTCTCACAGGAAAAAAGCATCGTTGCAATAAAGAATCTACAATATTGCGCTTACGACGCGAAGTATAATGTTCATTTCTTCACGACCACAGTTGAGACAGAATTTAAAACAAAACCTTCAGAGGCTTACCTTCAATACGCTATATCTGAGTTGAAGCAATGGCTTGAGTGCAATATCTCAATCGCATCAACTTTAGAACTGACTGCGTCAAGAATTTGCAGAGAATGTTGATAACGCTTAAGCGTGTTGTGATAATATTACACAATAAAGGTTAAAAAATTATGCAGTATATAATAAGAAGTCATTTAGGCATATTATTTCCAGGACTTGGAGAGTAGAATCCATCGTCATTTAATATGACATCACTTCTGTGCGGAAACTATACACTATTCTTGTAGATGAAACAATTTCGAAACTAAGAAACAAGGAAACCAAAAACGAAGAATTAACTGAAAAGAGCAAGAAAGATGCCATGTTCGTGAGCAACATTCGCGTCTGGATTGCAGATTAATCTGTTCAAGATGTTGTGATAAATACAGTATATAGACTATAAACTTTTCCATATCTACCAGCTTTAGAAAAGAACTTTATTTTTTTACACTACGTTTCAAAGGACCTCATTACGCATTTTTACCAATTACCTTGCACAGTAAAAAAACCCGTATTTCCACCAATACTCTAGACCAACAGAGTGCTTTTCGTTGGGGAGATTAATTACAAATATGCAAACTTGCACTTACGGAATGGCTATCCCCCAATAGTAATAGGTCGAAGTTTTTACGTCTTGGTTGTTAATATTATAGAGGGCTCCCTCTGTCTTAATGCTACCTGATCTTCCAAATTTACAGAGTATCAAACCTATCCAGTGATTATCGGAAGGACTAACAGAACTTTATCCGTATTGTGTATAAATTAAGTATTAGTATACCCCATACATTGTAATTTATAATTGTGCTAGTGTCGTTTCTCGCCCAATTAAATTTCCTAAAATACATTATTTCAGTAGTACGGAAGAATGCAGTAATTTATTATAAATTATTATATGTACGTTTTAGAAATAATACCATTCTTTTAATTAATAAACTTTTCAGACCTCCTATTCATCACCATAAAAAATCACGAAAAAGAAAACGAACGTTATGGCGAACTCGGCTTTAGATGCTGACGTCATTCATGTAGAAGTCTTAATTACCCATTTTCAATTGTTCCGCTCTGAAATTCACTTCAAGGAACACGTCGAATTTTGCTCCCCATTCCTATAATGCTGGGAACTAACCAACATTCTTGCCGCTCCTAAAGTGAAGTTCGATAGCCCAACGGTTTTGAGGGAGGGAAAAAATGTTTCTCGTAAAACGAGATCAACAATAGAAATGCTCGATAAAAATAAATTCAATAAACAAGTAAAATTCTATTTGGAATAAGGTCTCCATAATAAGTTGTGATTATAATACCTGACTGCATTTTCCAACTCGGCACTATTTACAGCTAATGAGTTAGACCGCGTCGGACTCCTCTTCCTCGGCATTCTTTAACCAATTGACAAAAATCTCACATTTCTTCCTAACTTCGTTTGATTCGCTATTCTGTCCATACCAATCCAAAACGGAATCTTCTTCGACGTAATCATGATCATAAAACATTTTAAATAAGATAGGCGCCTTACTCGTCAGACGTCGATTATGTTGCAGTAAAAACTTCTCCCACGAGCGAAGGAAAGCTATTTGATCCTGACTCGAATCGACAAACTAGTATACGAATTATCACAAATCATAAGCCATACACCTACACAAGTATGAACACATAATGACAACATAACATACTTTTTTGAACAGCTTCTCTCTCTTAACCAAATCTTTGTTTACTTTTTCCCAAGTCGCATCTTCATACAAGCTCCGAATTAGTACAACAAACAGTTGATGTTTGCTCAAATCATGTCGTATTTCGAATCGAGTGATATCTTTTATATCATCCGAAATAGTCCTAGACTGTTCTTCAGACTGGGCAAACATCCGTTTCATCTCGTTTATCAGACTGTCCTCATGCGATTGTTTATCCGAATTAGATTTTGATGACTCTGTTTTTTTGCTGTGAAAAAACCTGTTTGAGTTTTTTTATTCGCATGTACTAATAATTACGTAGAATTCGTTGGGTTACTTACGCCGGCCTGAGCTTATCAAAGTCGTCATCAGAGTATTCAACAATCCACTTCTTATCACCAATCTATATTTTGTACAAAGAGTCTATTTAGTCTGCTGTTAAATCTTGATTAACAAAAAGCTAACTGCTTGCCTTTTCGTTCTTCAGAAGATCCTTTAAAGTAACTGTATCGTTGTCAGCTACTCGTCGTCGACCATTGTTACTGGTCTTTGGTGATGATGAAGAAGACTGAACAGACGATACCTCCTTCTGCTCCTTATGGTCCTTATCATCCTTTTTTTCCTTTTGCTCAACGGGATTTTTGTGAGTTCTATCTACTCGCGGGTCAGTGTCTCCGTTTGCACTGCTATGATCAGTATGCCTTGAACGCAAATCATCTTTAGGATAATCGTTATCAGAAGACAAATCGTGGGAACTAACAAACGTTAAATTCAGTCAGAGCCATAAAATATAACATATTCGCAAACGATTCACAAATCGAAAGAGGTGTACAGTTAACTTGTGCACTTTACCTGGCAGGCGGAGTGAGGGGAGCCGCTGGTATAGGACGCATAGAATCGGATTGCGATAATACAGATATACGACCAAAAATGTTATTCGGCATTTCAGAGCGAATAAACGTCGATGCAGAAGATGACGTTCTATCGAATTCATTTGAACGGTATGTGCGCAATTGATGTTGGCGCTGTTCACCAGTTGCTTGATAACCATGCTGAAATTGAGGCGTAGTCGGCGTAGGTGGAAGATGGTGAGAGAGCTGCTGACCTTGCTGTGTGCTATTTTGCGCATGCTGAAAGTTTTGCGAAGACATATGGTATCCAAATTGTTGTTTATGTGACTGGTCTACAGTCTTCTGAGACTGTTCGGTCATAACTGGATGATGGTTAAGCTGGTCGCCATTATCGCGATGAGGAGCGGAACTTTGTGGTCGCTCTCTTAGTTCGTGCTCTCCGTGAGCAAAATTGCATTTCGGTCCGTATTGACAGAAATTCTCCTTCATAAACCGTTCGCAGAGTCGTGTCTTGTACAATGGGTTCTCAGGACCATCCCTTGCAGTTGGAGGAGAACCAGTTTTTTCCTCTGATGTTGGTCTTTCTCTTAATTCGTTAGTACCGTGAGCGAACGTACATTTCGGTCCGTATGGACAAAACCCTTCGGTTTCAAATCTCTCGCACAAGCGAGTTTTGTATAATGGGTTGTCGTACGTCATCACGGGAGACTGAAGAGGAGAAACAAAACCATTACCCAGTTTTTCCGTACGGTGATGTTGACGCTGTTCTCGCGCAAGCTCGAGTCTCTGCCTGGACATGGCCTGACGTTGTGAATCTAAGGGAAGAGCCAAATTCAGGTTTTTCATTCGAGTTTCTAGCCTATCGCTGATGAATGGACTTTTTGGAGGGCGTTGTCGTGCAGGCGCCTCTGAGGACCTTGTGAGTTTATTGCTCTCAATAAAAGCCGATGCCTGTTTGATAACATCCTGCATACTTCGATAGATGACTTTTTCAACCGCCACATTGAGAGGAAACCACGCAAAATTGAGTCCCTCGCTAGCGGTAAATACGCGAACATGATCTGAGGCTTGGGCAAGATAATATGCAACACGTTTTGGTCTGTAGATAGATGGTATAGATACATGTAAATAAGGGTCAGTTTCTGTGAAATATGTAATGGTGAATGTGCGTCGTAATCGAAGCATATGAAGTGAATCGAATTGATTCGAAAATGCTTACCTTGTTCCAGCTAAATACTTAATTTCCGCTCTAAAGTTGTCTTTGTCAATTATGTTTAAATCTCTTACTGACAGCCCGGTTAGTTCTGTAGTATTACGGAGTGCGCATCTGTAAATAACCAAATACAATGTGTGTAGGAAAATAAAACAAATACAACGCATTTAGTAAATTTCTAATCGCCCATTCCAAAAAAATTTACATTCATCCACAAAACGTTGGGTTTTGACAAAATAATGGAAGTGAACCAATACATCGGTCACAAGTCATCCGCATAGACTAACAATTCATTATTTTCTTGTTTCGTCGTTAGAATGGAGCGGCAGCGGCGAGCGTACACTACACAATATACCTTGAAAGTGATCGGGATTGGCTATGTACACTTCCTTGGCGTACCGAGCAAAAAAGACTCACTTTAACTCGTCTTCCTGACCAATGACTTCCCCCTTGGGAGCAGACCAGTACTTTTTATGACCGAAAGTATCGTTTAACAATAAGAATTCGACTTGACGCTGTATACGATATACGAGTATTCCTGTGACATGGAGAGGCTGAGATTTGTTCTCGTCCATGAGCAAGTAGCAGCGCAATCGGATTCGATAATAGAGAAATAGTTAAAATCTTGACAAGGATTGGGGAAGCCCGTTTTTCAATGGGTATTTTCTCTTTAAGATTTCTACAAGTCAGCGTTAAAAGATTCTCTCTCTTCACTCAGGAGGTTTTTGGGACGGTGATGTGCGAATAGCATCTTGTGTACAACATGAATGGGCAATTGGAGAAGATCAGGGTCATGTGTCACATAACATTATCTTATTTGGGGGCAGGACACTATGCGTTGGTAAAGATTGTTTTTTGTCTTGCAAAGTCTGGTAACAAAAAAATTGGTTAGGTAATACAATAAATAATAAGCGTCGTGCTATTTGTTATCTTGACAGTATGCAATTTTTGCAGTCCGTGTGGAATTCCCGATTTCGGCCTGTATTACGAACTTATGTCAGCACGTTAAAATTAATTCTGGTCCACAGATAAAGTAGAAAAAACCAAGAACGAAAACCAAAGCAATAAGCAGTATCATCATTTGGACTATCTTATATATTATAGAGAAAAAAACTTTTTTACACCACAATTGTTCTTGATTTCACCTATTAAATATTCGCTCTAGCACAATACACTTAGTTTACGGCGTCTTTACATTGCGTTCTGAAAAGAGTTGATTTATTTTTTTGGCATTTGGATTTTTTTAAAAAAACAACCTTTTTTTTATTTTAGTTCAATTTGTTGAGAAGCTAGTTGGAATACTTTTTTGTTCAATTCAGCGATTTCCGTTTCGTAACATTAATATTCTGCCTTT